TTGAAAGTGCCACCCATCTGTCTTCCAACCTTCACTCATACCATTCCAAGCTCAGGCCTCATCTCCTACACAACGTGTTCCGAAACCACACAAGACAATGCTGAGATTTTTCTAACGCTGTTAGGGAATATTTTATGGTACAGTACATTGTATAAAACACTCTTTGGTATTTATGTTTTCCTGAACCGAACACAACTTGTTCCAACTAGACAACAGACTCAACATCAAAGACCATGCCGACTTCTTGATTCATGCCCAACGAGTAAAGCATTTTTCAGGTAACTGGTACTCAATGTACTGATAGAATAAAATGTAATGTACAGCCGAGCTACATCCTGATGCAGAGCTGTTGTGACAGATGTTGTGACAGATGTTGCTGGTCAGCGCTGGCAGGCATCCTTAAAGGAGTAAGTGGCACGGCGCCTACACTCTCTGGTGATACAAAAAAAAAAAAGAAAGGTTGCTCATGGGGTGAGAGAACTGCATTCTACTTATATCAGGCAGCAGCTATTCTCCAACTCCTGGAACAAGAGAACGACAGAAACATGCAGACTGCTTTATAGGGTAGATGTGGAAACCAATGCCCTGGAAGTATAGTACTCTGACAAAGGTCACACAGAAATTCAGTGGCAGACCCTGCACTGACACCCAGGTTTCCTGCCTCCCAATCGAGAAGCCTTTACTACATCAAACTGCTTCTCTGATCAGGTACCTGAAAATAAATTACCACAAAGGGATGTGACCAATGAAGTCTTTTTGTCTTTAACTCAAACATGCCAATCACTGGAAAAACCCAGAAATACCTTTGTCACTCACAAAAATGTCACTCAAAGGAATTAGAAGTTCAGAGAAGAAACTGGGGAAGGTAAATGCTTTTCTGGATTCCTCTTCCTCTACCCACCTTGACTGTTCCCAGGTCCTCCTTCAGCCCGTTTTTCACTCCACACCCTCCTTTGGTGTTTGCATGCACAGCCTATAGCTTCAACCAGTACTTAACAGACTGAGAATTTCCAAATTGAAATCTCTGTTTTTTTTTGTTTTTTTAGCTCTTACCCTGTGTATTCAACTGCAATTTAGACATCTCCACCTATGTCCCCGGTCACCTTAAAAAAATAAAACTCAGCCTCATAAGGTCATCATTTCCCCTCTGCTCCAGCCAACCAGCAGCCCCGGCTTGTGGTCACCCTCTCACCTCAGTGAACAGCACCTCCTAGCCAGAAACCAGTGTCACATTGGGTTTCTTTCATTTCTCTTATCAAGTCTTTTCAATTCTCCCTCCTAAATATACTAGTTCTTGAACTCCACTCAAATCATCCTCCATATAGGGGATGTGCAAAGGTTTCTGACCACTCACCTTTATCACTAAAAAAATTCTAAGCATACATGTACCCAAAATACATGTAATTTATAAATTCAAATACGTGTACTTCTACAGCAATACAGTAAGATATAAATCATAATCAAAATTTTAAACTTTGAAGTGATGAGATCAACAAACATAATAGTAGACCTAAAATTTTCTTCCCATACTTCAGTGAGTCTTTTTACGCACCCCTGGAGATCAGGAACCTGCACTTTGAAATTATATACAATGAGACTGGTCCTACAAGAAATACATACATATATATGCTTGTGTGTATGTGTGTTTATATACATATGTATATGTACTGGAGGCAGCTTTTCTCATGCACACACACGTTTCATGAGGTGATATGCACATGTTTAAGCATATTGCTAAATATAGTTAACTCTACTTTCTAAAGTCACAAATCAAACGGCAAGTTTAAAGTCAGTTGACCTCTAAACACTCACAGCCACTTTTAAAGCAGTAACACATGTATAAAGTATAGTTTGGATCCTTTTGTACACAGCTCCTGAAAGAGAGAAATTTTTTTTCACCTACCGACAGACATATTGGAAGGCTGCTAATATTCTGACTTTTACGCACTGTACCCCCTTTAACCTGGGTACATACCATAATATTCTTTCAGTTTTCCACAGCTATAGATACCCCTAGCATGACACTTCAGGATTCAGAAGACGAAGGTACCTTTCTGTATCTTAACCTCTCTACTCCACACTTCCCACCTCTGAAAAAACAACCAGCCAAATTCTCAGAACCTAAAACCAAGTCAGAGTAAACACTGCTAATACAATACAGACACTTACATATTTACCTGGCATAATCTCTAGGATTCCACCCACAACCTAACAGATCCTAACTCTCTCGTAGAGTGAGAAAATCTGCTAAAATCTGACAAAAGTCCAAATGAATCCTTTCAGATATATGTAGCTTGTTACATACTCAGAAAAGTTAAGTTCTCGGAACTTGAAAGCTCTCTGAAACTTTTACAAGATGTTTCAGCTTATCACACTAGCAGCATGGTTAAGGGCAAACCAGAGCAGCTACAGAATATTAATGAATATTTTTTTCGGACAGAACACTGTACTACTCCCTGCTGTAAGCCACAACTTACTTATCAAGAAGTCAAACAATAAAGACATTAAAATCAGTGGCAAGCACTCTTAGAAAAACTGGCACCATGTTGTTTGACCACTTTTCATTATTATAGTATGACCATTTGTCCCCAGTGTCACTCCCAGAGTTAGGAAGAACACCAATGTAGAACTACATTTTCATTCGTGATGGTAATTTGGGGCTGATTTAAATTACATTATACTGACCAGAAAGCTAAGAAGAAAGCTGCCTAATTGTTAAAATTACTAAATGCAGTGACTTTCAGAATTGTTGATTCCATGCATTTCATGTACAGAATGTTGAAGGTATTCAAAAATAACTTTAATACAGAACTTTACATTGTTAGGAAAATCACATAAAATTGTAGGTCTAGGTCTGAAGTCAACATAGATGAGTTAAACAGTCTATTTGCTTCCTTTTTACAGAATTAAGCTATTAACCACATTCTTTGTCCTTTTAGCTAGTATTCTAATAACATCTTCCACCTTCATACTCAATTTTGGGATAAATAAAATGGCTTTCCCCCCAAATGCCTGTAATCAAAATACCAATGTTTTTTATTTAACACTTCACCATCTTCAGTCACTTATATAATATTGATCAATGAGCCAACATTATTGAAAAATATGAGAATTACAGTGAGACTCTAAGTCCTGACCCCTCTGGGCCTTGATGTCCACAAATGAACAGGTAACTGCCAACTAAAGTTCCTTAATCATTTCTAAAAGTGGCCTATTGTATACCCTATCGTAAAGGGCATATGTGGTTTAAGAAAGATGTCTAAATTCCTCTAGAACGTTATTTTTGTAGCATCAGAAGTACAATAAGAAAAATAATAATAACCTAAGGGCCAGGCTCAGGGGGCTCAAGTCTGTAATCCCAACACTTTGGGAGCTCTAGGAGAGAGGACTGCTTGAGCCTAGGAGTTTGAGGCCAGCCTGGGCAGCATAGTGAAATCCTGTCTCTACAAAAAATTTAAAAATTAGCCGGGCATGGTGGCAGGCGCCTGTCGTTCCAGCTACTCAGGTGGCTGAGGTGGAAAAATAACTTAAGCACGAGAGGCTGAGGCTGCAGTGAGCTGTGATAGCTCCTCTGCACTCCAGCCTGGGCGACAGAGACCCTGTCTCAAAACAAAACAAAATAACCTAGCAATTCTATCCACCTGTTATCCATGTGGCATGTTGGCCCAAAGAAACCTTACTAATGATGTTACCAATTACCTTCCGAGAAATCTTTTTACTATAAAAGAAGGGCTGAAAAGCAGTCAATATTCATTGAGCATCTACTCTCAAGCTAAGTGTTTTACATTTTGCATTTGATTTTCACGACTATAGTTAGGAAGGTTACTTTTGGTTTAAACGTAGGCTCTGGAGCTAGACCCCATGCCTTCTCCAGGAGCTCCCGATGACCATATGCAACTTACTTTTTGCTCCCGGTGCCTCCGTTTCTTCACTCGGAAAATGGAAATAGAAACAGTAGCAATCTCATTAGAGCAGTTCCAGAATTAAATAATACACATGAAATGCCTAGAGCTAAACCTGGCCCTCGCTGTCATTGTTATAAAAATGAATTATTAGCGTAGGTAGTATTGTTCCTATTTCACAGATGAGGAAACGGAAGCTTAGAGAATGCAACTTACTAATGATCATACCAATGAGTGCAAAGCTTTGGACTTAAAAGCACGAATTTGATTAAATGAAAGTTACTTAGAGAGTGGGAGTCTCATAAATCCAATTTATGAAGCCTAAGAAATGACACGCGGTAAAAATGATACTTAGACACAGGACGGGCTCTCAGGCTCGCGGACCGGGTCTGAGCGCAAAGTGGCCGTGGCCCTGTGTCCTGGTCCCGGGGTGCCCGGCAGGGGCCGGCGACTCTTGACTTCCCGGCATTCGCGTTTATAAACACCGGGAAGTGAACTGCACTGCCGCCGCCGCGCCCCCGGTCCCCAGCGGCTCCGCGAGGCCACTTTCTATCCCGGCTCCAGTCGGAGAAGACCAGTCCCAACAGCGGGCGCCGACGGCCGGCTCGACGCTGCTCCAAAAACAGCAGCCAGCGAGGGAGCGAGAGACAAAGGCGCAGGACCAGTCCAGGGGCGCGCTGAGTCCTAAACGCCGAGCCCCGGGTGGCCTCGCTGGCTCCCACCTGCGCTCGCCCAGCCTGGCGGGAGACCGCAGGTGTCAGGAGCCGCTCAGGCCCGGTCCTCCGCAGCTCCAGCAGCCCCGACGTGACAGCGCCCAGGCCCGCGACCCTAGCGCTCGGAACGCGGCTGGGCCGACTCGGCGCCCGGACGCTGCCAGCGCCTGGGACCCGAGGGGGGTGGCGGTGTGCGGACTTCCTCCCGGACTAGCCTGGAATCCCGCCCCAGCCCCCACCGGCCCGCGGCCGCCCCCGCCCCCGCCCCCACGCCTGGCACAAAGGTCCCGGCGCGGCCCGGGCCGGCGGCTGTTAAGTGCTGTCGCGCACAGCAGACCCGAGGCCGCGGCCTGCACCCCCACACCCGAGGCCCGCCGGCGCCTACCTTCTCCGCGCGGCGTCCGGGCCCCGGCGCGGTGGGCTCCGGCCTGCTGTTCCGCGACTCCCGCTCGGCCTCTCCTGCGGGCTGGCGGGGCCTCCCGAGTCTCGGGCGCGGCGGGTGGCGGCGGCTCCTCCTCCTCAGGGGCGGGAGGAGGGGACTCGGCGGCCCAGAGCCGCCCCCCGGCAGGAAACCAGCCGCGGCCCCGCCTCCTCTGCGCGTCTGATCCCGCTCCCGAGGCCGCCACCGCCCTCTCCCTCCGGAAACGCATTCCTCTCCCGCCGCGTCAGCCCGGCCCCGGGGCGAGGAGGAGGCGCAGGAGGAGGCAGGAAGCGCGACCGGGACAAAGGAACCGGCCCGCTCGGGAGCGCGCCTGAGGGAGGCCGTGGAGGGCAGGGCCGGGACTCCGCTGAGACAGTCGCCATGCCTCAGTTTCCTCCTCTGTGAAGGGCGGGAGGGGTCGGTTGCGCCCTAAAGCCCCGCGCGTTCCTGGTGTAGCCTGCTGGGCCCGTGTTCTTTAAGTTACGCTTCCTCGGATCCGCGTGTCCGACCCTCCCTCCCGTTTGTCCACTGATGTCCCGTTTAGAGCCCGGGAGGTCCTGATTCCCGGAAGCCCCCTCAGTCCCGAGGCAAATCGGTACCATGAACCCCCCATACCCTGCAGGACTCCATGGGGCCAAAAACCACGTGGTCATTCTGGAAGGGAACTGGCTAAGCCAGGACTGCTTTTCTGGAGTGATAATGTGCTAGCGTGTGTCTAAGAGAAAGGTGAAGACTTGGGAAACCCGTGGGTGCCACGAAGGGTGGTGGGACTGGGGAACGTTTTAGAAAACCTGGTGAGTTGGGTCCTGCTTTTGATAGATTTATCTGGAGGTCCCTTTATGGGGAACAGGGATGAGAAGGAAAAGTTTCTTCCTACGGAATAGAGTTTCTGTTTCAAACCTCTTTAAAAAAGAAGAAAAAAAAAAGGAGATGGGGGCTGGAAACAGAACGTTTGAAAGAGAAGGAAACATTCATTATGAGAATGGCTGGGCGCATGTCGATTCGATGATTGAAGTTCGTACCAACCAACATCATACTGAAACCCAGTAATTTCAGTATACGCTGCTGGCAAGCTGCTATCCTGGTAGCAGAAAATGTTGTAGGTTCCACTTGGTGAGCTGCAGCACCCTGTTGGGAAAAGAGCTCAAAAATTACCAGATTTATGAAACTGAGAAGAATCTTGCAGGAGATGAGGGGCTGGAACGCCCATTTGGCTGCTGCCAATCTAAAATATAAGAGAAAATGAGGCGATCACATCTAAGAAAATTTGCACATTACTTACCAGCAAAATCAAAACTATTGGTTAGCCAATGTCTGCAGACCTCTAGGAAATAAGCACTATTTTTCCCGCTTAATGGATGTTCAAGCTTAAGAGGCTAAATGATGTTCCTATGTTAATATCTCAATGGTCAAACTGCCATTAGAACACAACATTCTTGAATTTTAAAGGTATGGATTTTACCATTGTTGAGAATTCATCAGAATTGGCCCAGTCTCAGCACAGAAAACTGTATAGTTCAAAAGCATAATTGGTCCATGCCTGATTTGCACTACAATTCTCAGAATTTTTTCCCCTGTACATGACTGGTGGAGGCACTGGCTAATCTTTGCTACAAGAACATTATGAGGTTTACATATGCACAACTCTAAACTAAATTAGTTCCTCCAGGGCAATTTACTGACCTTTTTAACACCACTGTCGAGCACTGTTGTGAGGACACATAATAGGGGCTCAGATAATATCTGATAAATGAATAAATGGGTCCTGTTGCTCTCCCGGGACTTGACTAAACTGATGTGTGAGGTAGCAATTTGTGTACAGAAGTCACGAGTTTTGAGGAAAAAGAAATTAAAGAAACACGTTCTCTAAGAAAAGCAGTGATCGGTCAAGAGTACGAGTCTACTTGTGATTTCATACAAATAATGGGTGGACAGTGAGCTAACTATGAAATTTATGAATAAGCAAAGATTGGTCAGCATACGTGCTAAGCAGGAAATCCTGGTAAGTAGGAATACTGCAAGCCACATTGCTAGATCTTATCATATTAGGTTGGTGCAAGGTCTACCAGATGTCTCTTGCCTTCCCATGTGTAAGATCAACCAGATAGCTCTCACCTTTCCATGTTTAAGGTCAATCAGAGGGCTCTTGCCTTCCCATGTCTAAGGTCAACCAGATGGCTGCATGCACCAACCTAATAAAACATCATTAGTGTCTTGAATTCAAGACAAATCCATACTTTACCTACATTGTCTCCCAATTATTATCAATTGTCTTCTGCCATCTTTTAAGTCATTATTATGTCAAATAATTAAAGTTGATGTTTCCTTTAGTTTTGTCACTGGTGATATTACTACTTGCTCTTCAAAATGTATCTTTATTCACCTAACATTTTCCAAAGTAAAGTTTCAAAGTTGCTCAGCAAGAAAGACATTATTGGATGCCTAGGTTTTTATTAGTTTGACTTATATTATTATTGATTAGCACCCCTTTTCCCTCTCAAAAGTATGTCCTAGTATAGATGATAACTTACATGATCATTCTATAAAGAACAGTGTCCAGATAACAAGGAATAAGAAGAATAATTTTAGAAATTCAAAAGAGATTCATGATATATTGCAAATCAGGTTCCAGGTTTACAGGGGAAGACTAATTTCAACATTGGTGATAGTAAGGGGAAAATGTGAGTTGCAGCATGGGGGTGAGTATGAAGAATTAGGCAGTTGCTGTGTGATGAAAATGCCCTACTAGGAGATTTTGTTAAGAAAAAAGTCTTGACAGTCCCCTGGCTGATCAATGGGACTTGGATTTTAAATACCATTGTATAATAAATGTATGCGATGACTTTGGAGCAAATTGATTGACAACGGCTAGGTAAGTCTTCAGCCACTTTTCTAACGACTGTTTCTGTAGACTAAGCTAGATAGATTTTTCTCATCTGTCACTTCCAGTTTCTTTGAATGTAACTCCTTTAAACATTAAACAAAGAAAAAGATGAAGGGATAGGGATGGAAGGAATAGAGGTCTCTGATAACATCATGTAATACTAACATAAAAGTGCTTCTGAATCATGAATAACTCCATTCCTTTACCTGAGAAACTAAAATCACTGTTGTAAAATGTGAATCTGCTACTCAGGAGGCTCAGGCAGGAGGATTGCTGGAGACCAGGAGTTCGAGGCCAGACTGAGCAACATAGTGAGACCACTGCCCCCACCGACCCCAGGCCCCAACTGAAAAATGAAGAATAAAATTACCCAGGTGTGGTGGTGCATGTGTGTAGTCCCGGCTGCTCAGGAGGCTGAGGTGGGAGGATCTCTTGAGCCCAGGAGCTATGATCATGCCACTGTAGTCCAGCCCGGACAACACAGTGAGACCCATCTCTAAAAATGTGAATCTGTGTGTATTGGTGTAAAGCAGCCTGGGAATTATTGACATTTTGAAAAACAAGAAGGGGTGAGACGGTCCTGCCAGTTCCTCCTTTTTCAGTCTCCATATGTATAAATAACATGCAAATAGTCATATAATGCAGAGAAACTGGAAGTGTATTGAATTTGCAACTTGTTTTTTTTTTTTTTTTTTTGCTTGAGGGCTTCAATTTAGTGAGCACTCTTCTATACTCATAACGGAGTATTGCCAGAGGAACTGTAAGAAATTAAGTTTGCTATCAGGCAACCAGCAATTGACTAGGTATGGCATGTGTCAGTGTATCCACCAGGCTGTGCTGAGGCTTCATTTCTTTGCTTATTTGAAAATAAGGTGGAAAATGGCACAACAGTCTGACCTGATTTGCAATGTGTCCCTTAGAGCTTAGGCTAGCCATTCAGCCTTTTCCTTTTCTAGGTAACTAACAGTGGCTGGACTATGGCTTTGAATATGGGTCACAGATGAGTAAGGCTTCCTCAACTTGTTCTGCTTCCTGTTTTCCATATATAGGGGCCCCATTTTTCCTTTTCGAGTCTACACAGCATTGCCTCCAATGGGTGTGAGCATTCCTTACCAGCATTCAGATGCTGAACATTTTTAACAGCCTACGGGGAACAGTCTTTTAGGCAGCTCTTTTCAAACACTGAGTTTCTTCAGCTGTGGAAGGGAATGTCCTTCCCAAATAAGAATTAAAAAAATGCCCAATATAAGCAATTGACTAGCACTGGAGTTATTTTTAGGAACCAGGGTCACTCATTACAGGAAATGATTGTGTTGCCAATGTGTTACAGCTAGTGACTATAAAAAATATTATTTCTTTCCTCATTTAACTGCATCTTGAGGAAAGTTAGCAGTTGCAATTTTAAGTTAGGAACAGCTCAATTTCAGGCCAGGTACATTAGGGAGTAGGAAGGATACTTTTCACTTAAAAAAAGGCATTTGGGGTAAGTAAGAACATCTTCCCTGCACCTCCCTCCCACCCTCTTCCCCTAGAACACACAAATTAATCCCCACAACATACTATCTTAGGCCGAGTTCTTGCCTCATGCCTATGAACGGGATACTATGAAACCCCTAAAATTCTAGACAGAATTTTACTTATGTATCTGCATTGTTGTGGTTTGAATGAGATCTTAACAACAAAACATTAAGAATAACTATTTTAAGCACTTACACGATTAGTTCTTTTAGAGACTACATGCCTAAACAAATGTCTCTGTGGTTGCCCTGGAACTGTGAGTTGTATATTGATTAGTCTTATCTAAAACAATATTTAAACCATCAGATAGTGCTTCCAAATATTTTCTTATAACATGATTGTCACTGCATGTTATTTAACCTTTAAGAGGTAGAACAGAAAAAGCAGAATCTTTTGTGATCGAACCGCACAACTAAAGCGTATGCTGTTTATGTCTACTTTTCAAGGTAAGATAAACTTCAAAGAGAAACGAACTTTTAATTTCAAATTCCAATTTACGTATTAGGACTTAAATGACTTCAAATCATGTCTAAAAATCACCGTAACTAAAACCATTGTAAATTTTTACTTAAATTGGGAATAAAAATAAATAAATGTTAAGCATATTTCCTAGTAATATTTGTCATGCAGCATTTGGAAGAGCAAGTCCTGTGACGCTTCTACTTTAAGATTTCTGCATTGTTGTTGGCTGATGTCATAGGCTGTTCCCTTTATGACCACAAGAATTCCCTATTTAGAACTGCTTATGGCTGCCGTTGGGTAGACTTTCAAGTTGAAAGAATTTTGC